CAAAATCACTTTAGCACTTTGTTCCCTCCTTCAAAGGATCGGTGGCGGACCTTTTTGTTATGAACACAGGCCATGGGTCTTGGCAACATTTGGCCATGGCACATAGCATTCAACTATTTCTCATCAAATCAATCGTTGATGACGCTGCTTTAACTCATCAGCTTCCAACCTGGCAGGAAAGGGATTTTTCAATGAAGAATTTCTCAATGAAGGGTTTTCTCAATGAAGGCTTTCTCAATGAAGGTTTTCTCAATGAAGGTTTTCTCTCAAAGAAGAGGTTTTTCAATGAAGGGCTTCATCAGATTCCAGAACAGTGATATTCAAAGGATCAAATAATTTCATCTTTGGCCATCTAAAAGAATTAAAAAAACTTCATGACAATGATCAAATAAACAAATAAAACCAATTGTGCATTTCATGAAACTCCAAATCAAAGCGAAAACAAGACAAAACTCAATTTGCAAAAGGCGCTTTCATTAAGCTATTCACACATGCAAGAAAAAGTCTTTGTAAACTTTAGCAAATGACAACCCCTAGATTTATCGAAATTATCTTCGAGGGGGAAGATAGTCAGCCATCCAACTTGTGCAAAGCTCCTTTAGGATTTTCAAATTTCGTCATTGGAAGTGGATGCCTCAAAGGTGTCCTTGTGTTTAGGAAAGGGATTTGTACTTATACTTGGTCCTTGTCCACCCTTTCCCTTTAGCACTATTTCCTCAGCCTCGATCATGTCTTGGACTTTGTGCTTAAGTGCCCTGCAATCGGCGGTTGAGTGGCCAGGTACTCCCGAATGATAGGCACAAATAGCATGTGGATTGTACCCAGCAGGCATGCCATGAAGGTAAGTTGGAGGGGGAATCACGCCTATTTTGTTGGCAGCCTTCAATTGCTCATACAATTGGTCCAAATGCCTGCCTAGGTTGGCGAAGGTTCGGGTACGGCTTTGATTGTAGGTTTCAGTGGGTCGGGGATAGTTGTAGGTGGGTCTATTTGGTAGGGAAAATCTTTGGTGGTAAGGAGGCCGAGGACGAGCTTGTTGAAAGCTTGGTTGAGATATTTGGAAAAGGGTTGTAGGTGGGTTGGCATAATTTGGGCGAGGTCGAGGATGAGTGATATTGGTGTGGTAAACAGGACGAGGATTTGAGTAGTAGGGGTAAGGGTTTGAGTAGGTAGGGTATTGTCGAGATCTGGGTCTTGGGACAGGGTTTTGACTCCAGGTGAAGGTAGTTTCCCCCTCTTGCCTTTTGAATTGTTGCTTCTTCCCATTACCTCCTTGGCTTTGCAAAGCTTCCACTTGAGTTTTTAGGGCAGACACATTAACAATTTTTCCAGTCTTCACGAAATCATCAAATTCCTCAAGCTTATTAACAATTGCGGCAAATGAGCATCCAGTCATGCGAAAAATTTCTTCAAAGTACGGCGGATCATGTGCCTTAATGAAAGTACGTATGATTTCGTCTTCCGTCATTGGTGGCTCGACTTTTGCAGCTATTTTCCTCCACCTCTTGGCATAAGTCTTGTGATCTTCAGATGGCTTCCTCTTTGTCCCTTCCAACGTGGTTCGTGTTGGAGCCAGCTCACAATTATACTCGTACTGCCTTACAAAAGCGTTGGACAAGTCCAGCCAGGTCTTTGCTTCTTCGGGTTTCAGCTTGGAATACCAGTCGAGTGCATCCCCTCCAGACTTTCTGGGAATAGCCTCAAAGGCAGATTTTCATCATCTGTTGGCCTACCCAACTTGTTGGCGAACAGTCGGAGGTGTGTCTTGGGATTGCCCGTCCCATCATACTTGTTAAACTTCGGAGTTTTGAACCCCTCAGGCAATTGCACATTCGGGAAAAGGCAAATCTCATCGTAATCCAGGACTCCTTGCTTGTTCAGCCCCTGACTCTTCTTTATAAATTCATCAAAACGATCAAGGCGCTTAAGCAACTTCATATCAACGGGAGCGGAAGATTCCCCCATTTCTGGCTTGGTTTGAAAAGTATGGTCCGGCAGGAATGGCTCAGCAGCAGGGTAATAAAAGGTATGTGGCTCAGGTGGTATATTTGAAGTGATTTGGGGTTGTGGACCTCGCATGTAAGTAAGAAAAGATGAAGGATGAGAAGGGTAAGTGTATGACAAATTTGTGGTGGGATAGGTGAAAGTTTCTTCGGGTGCAATAGGAAATGATGGAATAACAGTGACATGGGCCGAAGGTAGGACAAATGGCTCTTGCTCAGGCTGTCTGGCGGGTACAGGTTCGGGTTGAACTCCGCTGCTAATTAGCTCATCATTCAACTTCCTTTGGGCGGCCATCTCAGACGCCATCTCTCCAAACTTGGTAAGCATCTCAGTCAACTGAATCCCCAAACTTGCAGTCTCGGGTTGAGCGGTAGTAGCAGACCTATCTGACTGTTCTGGTTGTGAACTCATGTTTACACGATTCCTTTGGACTTGACTACGGGATCGCGTTATGATGGGGTTTCGACGAGAAGTTATGTTTAAATATTACCTGAGAATTTTGAAAAGATTGCTTTTAGATTTAACCCTCGCTTAGTTATTACAAAAGAAATAAAGAAAAAGAAAAGAAAAAGGCAAGAGTTAGTAAATATCCAGAAAATTCGGATGCATGTCCTATGGGGGAACCCTTTTTGCGCCAAGGGTAGGCCTAGAATGAGGATGCAACCCTCTAGAGTAGGCACTATACCATACCTGATGGATCCAATCAGCTTATGGAGTGAAAAATAATTTGAAAATTTTGGCCAATTGGAGTGACGAGAGACACTTTGTCAAAATGAGGTCAACGTCCGAATGGATTGATCACTTTTGATCGATACAAGAATTTGTAAAAACGCACAGGTTTGACCTTGACAAACTTCCTATCGAAGAGACCGGAATTCGTTTGACAAAATTTCCTCAGTAAAGCGCGGGTCAAAACCCCAACTGATCAAATGGCTGGATGCAGTGGACGGTTTTCTTAAAACCGACTAGGTTTCCCAATTTGAAATTGAAACCCTGATTAGTCAAATGGGTTGAATGAAATTGACCATTTATTTAAAATCGATCGGATTACCCTAAAAAGGGAAACGGGTCAAATGAATTGAATGAAATTTAACTTATCCAAAATTAATCAGATCACCCTAAAAAGGGTAAATTGGTCAAATGAATTGACAATTTATTCAAAATCGACCAAGTGACCCTAAAAAGGGTAAATTGGTCAAATGACTCTAAAAAAGGTAAATTGGTCAAATGAATTGACGATTTATTCAAAATCGACCAAGTGACCCTAAAAAGGGTAAATTGGTCAAATGACTCTAAAAAAGGTAAATTGGTCAAATGAATTGACGATTTATTCAAAATCGATCAGGTGACCCTAAAAAGGGTAAATTGGTCAAATGACCCTAAAAAAGGGCAAATTGGTCAAATTGATAATTTATCGAATGAATCGGTAAAATGGATTGGTTGAATTGTCCGGCCATTGGTTATTTCAAAATTATTGAAGTGCATTAGTCTATGACCTTCTAAAAATCAAATTTTGGCCTCAATTTATTTATCGTCTCAATAGGAGAAATCATTTGTGAATTTCTTCAAATTAATGTCCTTCACGCAAGGGATTTTTACCAATTTTTGATAAAATGGCCAAAAAGTGATTATTAGATGCTCATATTCCAAAGATCACTCTATGAAAAATGATCGGATCCTACCTTACCTTGTGCACTACCCCTTTGGATGGTACAAAATGTAAACGTGCAAGTCTCACTGGATTAAGTATCCGAGACACAAGGTGGCTTATTCCTAACACGGGATCCCCTAAGTGGCATTCCCTTTCTAGGGTTTATGCATGATGCCATTTATTAAAGCGGTAAAATGTGCAATTCGAAATGAAACGTGACCTAAGGAACCCTTTATCTGCCAGGGTAGGCTTATAATGCTATGCAATTATTAATCTATGAATGCAATATACAAAAATCTTTAAATGTGCAATAATCTATCTACAAGGGTAGGTTCTAAAAGAAGGTCATGCCAGACCTCTTATTTGCTAGGGTTTGTGAATGCAATGGGGACACAAAACCAAGAAAAAGTTAGTTCAGTCGAATAAATACACATAACACATTGTAACAACGAAATCAATACAAAGAAATAAAACAATAAAAGGGAGAAAGGGGTTGGACCCCTCCCCTCGTGAACAGTGTCCCTAGCTCAGGATAAGGCCGACTTCTACCCTAGGCAATTTTAATATGGATGCATGAGGTTGGGATTCGCTAATGCATCTAGACTCGATAGGTCATAGGTCCCCGAGCCTTCAGACTTAGAAACCAAGGGTCATCAATCCCAAGGTTCTTCGTCGGTGGCTCGAGCGATTCCCCAAACACCGCTACGCACACATCGTGTCACGGCTACGTGTTTGAGTGAATCTATCAAAATCCCCAACCTTCGACTAAAAGCTAAAGGCTATCAACCAATAGCTTTAAGCGGAAGATTGAGTGACCCATTGGAACATGCTACACACACATCGTGTCGTGATCACATGTCCAAGTGAGTCACCTAAAATCCTAATAGGGTGGAGTGGCGTGACGAGCCACTAAAATAAAAATAAACGAGGGGTGAAAAGTTAAAGCGTATGCACGTATGCTAGTGCTCGTTTGGAGGGGAGGGATCAAGAACCAACGCGAGACTCTAGGGTATGTCCCCCACCCAAATGCAATGCAAAGCGCGAGATAAATAAGTAAACATATATCCAATCAACCAATCATACATACGTGAGTGAGGGAGTAGTTTGATACACGCGAAATGCAAAAATCCTAAGAAAAGGAAAAATGCAACCCTAAAACACCCAAATGTAATATATGAAAAAGTTAAAAGAAGAAAAAGATTGATTAAATCAAATTTGCTCGGACTCTCGAATGTCCCCAGTGGAGTCGCCAACTGTCGCGCCCCATTTTTTGATAAATAAATAAAATGGTTTAAAAATGTATTTTGATTTTATTTATTTATCAAAAAATGGGGCGCGACAGCTTTTATTTTGACAAGATCAAGCGTTTCTTTCCTTCAGGAGTATGTCCGAAAAAATTGTCCATGTACTCTTGAAATATAACTTCTCGGTAGAGAGCTCCACCACCGAGCTCTGCCAAATGAGGCAGCGGACCTAACTTCTCGGTCGGCCTTGGAGCAGTGAAAACTGGAATAGAAACTCTTGATTGTTTGCTTGAGGTACGCACTCTGTGCTCAGCACTTTTGTACCTTCTATTGCTTAGGATCTAAGGTGCAGCAAAAAATAAGAAGGTAAAAAGGAGGAAATAAACAACTAAGGCAAATTAAGCAAATAAATAAATTATGGGTCTGGTTTTGATCAAGCAAATAAATAAATAACTAAGGCGCCGTTTCGATTGAAGGAAAAGGAAGGAAAGAAAAGGACGGGACTCTAGTGAAAAAGAAAAAAAGAAAAGAAGAAGAAATTTAAATTCATCCATCTTTTTTGCATTACAAAAGTAAATTGTCAATGGGATTAGATCAATCCAAACTCAGCCCATTTGGCCGTTGGTCTGGCACAAAAAAAGCTCATTGAGCCTAATCTTTAATTGTGTCAGGCAAAGGTTGGGCCTAAATATTAGGCTCAAAATAAATGTGCGTCGAGTTTGGACCATATTAGGTTCAGACCCGATTAAAATTTGGCCTATATACGCATAAGTATATATAATATAATAATATATATAATTTATAATTATACATATTACGATATAAAATGTTAATGATTTATATATATTTGTGTTAATTCATAACTATAAAATATATATTATATATAATTATTATTTATTTAATTATGAGTTTGGGCTAATATAGTAGTATGAATTGATATTGAATCTTTTCAATATAAGCTTGAAACTCAAAAACCCGAATCTTAAAAAGCCATATAATTTGTGAGTCGAGTTTGAATGTGTTAAAATCAATGTATTGAAACTTGAACCGTTAATTGAACCAGTATGGTGTTTGGGTCGTGGTTCAACTGGTCAGATCGGTTCAACCCTGGTTCAATGAATTTTTAAAAAATAATTTATATAAATATATATGCACAAAATAAGACATACAATGGAATAATTTAAGACTATATATGATGAAAAGTTTAATATTTTCAAAGAATTTGGATTTTCACAAATAAAAATTATAAATTATAAATTGAAACAAATAAATTTCATCTCATTCTCAATTGTATCTACCAAAAAAAATCTTAAATCCAACACAAAAATACCATACAAAATTCACGTCCATGGGAATTAGATATTGTGAGTTTAAATTTTTAATTCATATTTTTGGGATTTAAAGATTGCACCTTAAAAAAAAAAGAAGTTTGAAGTTTGGAGAAAGTCAAGAAAATAGAAAATATAGATGCAAACTTGATAAGAGGCAAAAAATAAGAAGAAAGTAAGTGGATGTGGCATTTAATAATTAGTCTTTAGGGTTAAAAAAAACCTATTCTTTTTTTTTTCAATTTAATAGACAAACAAAAAAAAAACCCCTAGTTCAACGATTCATCTGGTTCGTATGGTTCACGGTTTTTAAGTCCAATCAACTCGAGATATGAATCGGACCGAAACTATGACCGGTTCAAGGTCTGACCGATCGAACTGACCGGTCCGGTTCAATTTTAAAAAATATTGGCTAAAATCTGATTCGAAAAACCCACTTTACACCTCTATTTAAAAAGTCTAATTTGTAAACACATAATAGGTTTTTTAGGAATATTTAAAATTTTCATAAATCTTGGTATCATTTCCCTCCGTTTCCACCCACTTTTGAATGAAAAGCAGAATGAAAAAAATAACTAAACTTTATCCCTCATTTTCCTCTCAATCCTTTCCTTTCCCTCCTCAAAAATCAATCCAAACATCAAAGACCTTATTCCTCCATTTTCTTTCCCTTCCCTTCCCTCCCCTCCAACTCCCTAAAAACAAGCAGTGCCTAAATAAAAATTTCAGTTTTTTACATTTTAATGAAATTTATATCATAATAACAAGCAAACATAAGAGTAATACTAAAATAGTTAATTGTGCAAACATACGTGTTCAGTTGATCCAGGCAAACAGCCAACTTAACCTAATGCAAACATATGAGTAATAAAATAGTTCATTGTGATAGCATATCTGATCAGTTGATCCAGACAAACAGCCAACTTAACCTAATTAGGTAATTGGGCAACAGAACTTTTTGTGAATTGTATTAACTTCACTCGCTCAAAGAAACAATAAATATGGTCATTGAGTACGAACTAACCTCTAATGAATCCCCAACATTAATAACTAAAGCACTTGGGATTGGTGGAATCTCTATCCACTCTTCTTTTCTGCTATCAAGTTTATATTCTTCAACCTTTATATATAAATCCCCAGCATTATCTTGCAAAAGCACAGTCAAGGTGCCCATATCAGAGTGGCGCTGGATTTCCGCTGGATTTCCGAGTCTTGAGTCATCAAGGGTCACTCTAAGATTTGCAATTAAGATTTCCAACAGCCTTCTCACCATCTTAGAGGATAGCTTCAAGTAAGCAAGTGCCTCTTCCCTGAGGAAATAATGCTAAGGCAAAAAGACAAGCATCCTTAACGGGTGATAGGGAATTAAAGATTGAGTATGGATAAAAAATGTGTATGGTTAATCATTTTTTTGGACCTCTTTTAGTAACTAAAATCACTCTGATATTACTAAAATTGGTAGCATGTAAAATCCATGATTATATTGACTATACACAGATCTGATTAGTACGTGAGTCCTAGCATTTTAATTTATCTAAGATCAATTCAAAGTGGATCTATCATTGACACGCGACTTCTTAACAATAGTGTTTCGACTGGTAGTTTACAGCAAGGTTTTCAGTATCGATTAAAATCGCACCCAAGACTATTTTGAGGTTTATGAGAGTGGAGCATAATATCATAAGCTCCTACCATAAATACAAAAAATTAGCCATATAAACAAGTGCATTCAAAATAATTGAGCCAACTAAGGCCAATAATGTGATATATGAAGTGTGAAACTTAAAATTGAAGTGGCAGTATAATGAACTTGTGAATTGGCAACCATTTCAGCCTTTCTCATCCCAGATTCCTTGGCATCCTTCTTCCTTTAGGCAACGTTTTCATAGATACTTCCACCAAAAAGGGTTAGCTCTTGGCTGACCAGTGCAGTATGTGTCCTCAAGGTCCCCAAATTGAAGTCTTTTTTAAGTTCAGCAATATTTTGTGTGTTTGGTAATTAGTATTTTGATTTGGTTCCTTTTGAATTTTCCAAGGCAACTTTTCTTAGATCAATGCTCGAGCCGTTTGATCATATTGAATAATTCTAAAAGGACAGCCACATCTACATTGTATCTTTTATTTTGTGAAATTCAAAACTAAAAGTGTTTTTTGCGCTCAACCAAATGTGTTGATGAAATTGAAGAAAAATGATTAATGGCAGGTAGGACTTCTCTTCCAAATTCTCAACTCTCAAGGAATAAAATTATAGTCATTGCGAGTGTGCTTATTCACTTATCATGTGATCACACATTGGACTTTGATACTTATTGGCTTCTTCCTTGGAAATTAATGTATCTTGACTAAGGCATTAATTAATTATCACTTTACCCCCTTAAACCGTATTACTGCTATAAAATAAAAGGATATGTTTGTCCAAATTTGTTGACATGTTGAGTTGAATTATCGATGGGAGTGAAGTGACTAAAAGATAATGTTAAGGGTACAATTGATAATAGTGATATTAAGAATCTTCTCCTGTAATTAAGAAATAAAAAAAATGAAAGCAATTGATCATATCTTCATCTCATATAGAAATATAGAAATTAATGTACCTCGATGACTCTTCGCTTGGCTAATTTTTTTTTTTCTTTTTGGTGCCTAATAAAATTTCTATTAGACTTTCCAATAAATTAGCCTGGGATTCTGAAGTGAGTTTGAATTTGATTGAGAAGATGCCTGCTGATAGTCCACATTATAAACTTATGATTGATCACAGGACTCATGCGAACTTCGATGGAACTACAGACTGAAATGTCTGTGTTTTCCTAACACTGTATAAACACAGATGCATATTGCTTTTGGAAGACTTTTTCCTCCTTAAGAGGACAATATTTCACCATATCAACAAGTTATAAGCACAGATTCGTACAATTTGGCTCAAGAATCTATTGTTTCCTGCAGTTTCCAACATAGAGTATGAGGCTCTCCTTGTCTACAATGTTGATACAGACATTTCAATAAATATTTGACAATGAGCAAAAAAAAATTCATAACAATAGAAAAAAAAGGTGATTCTCTCTCCATAATCACCACCAACGTGCGTGTTCTTACCTTTGCTAAACTACTGCTTCCTCCCATATTCTCTGATACAGAACATGAGTCGTTTGTATCTCGAGAAATTATTTAGGGTTCTGATTTAGGATAAATTTTATAGTTTTATCCATAGTTTTATTCATAGTTTTAATTGATAATTTTATTATTGTTGTTGGTTGTAATTGAAACACGCGACCTGGTGGCAAAAGAAAAATGTTCGAAGGCCTGTTTACCGGGGATCTGGAGACGGATCCTTCGGTAAAGCCTCACGGATCTGCCTGCAGGTCTAGTCCTGAGGTTGGTTCCAATGAAATCTGATGCCAGACTTTAAGCTGGACTTTAGGCCGGACTTCTGTCTGATCTTTTGCGATTGCTTGGCGCAAGTTTAGTTTATCTAGGATTTTTTTCTTGTGTTTTTATTTCCTTTCCAGTGTAGGACTGTTTAGCCTATAAATATGAATATCAAGGGTTTTTTTTTTTTTTTATAATTAGTCTTTATCAATTATTATACCAAACTTGGTTGGTTTTTATCAATTGTTGAGAGTTTTTTTTCTCATTTTTTTGAATCTTTAATTTGTGCCTTAGGGTTTGATCATGAATCAACCCTTATTATTTTGTATGGTATGAACTTAGCTCTTAAATAAATCCTATTTTCACGCTTCCGCTACAGCATCATTCTCTGATCCCTCATCATCATCATTCCTTCCCCTCCATAAACTTGAAGCTATGGGAATTGTCAGTGATCTCAATCCAAGTGACGCTTTGCATAACCTGATTTTTAGACGCAAGTGGATCGTGCTTTAGCTCTGCTGATTTGAGCTGTCCATGTCCGTGTGTGCCATCTTGAGAATTTCTATTTTCTACTCCATTCGTGTCCTTCATGCTGCTGCATTTGTATTCTTCGTAGGTTGCAATTGAGAAGAATTTCAATGATAACCCATAAACCTATATATTTTGTTCACCACATCGAAACATGTCCAATGTACAACAGATAAGTTCTTTTAGCACTCCTCCTCATCCAAACATTTCCTCGACAGCTCTTTTAAGCATCAATGGAAGATAGTGAGAAAGGAACTGGTCAAGGCAGCCGAGCGTATTTGCCCTATCTCAGGCTTACACAATAATACCAATCCTGAAGCTATGCAGGAATGTAGGACAAAACTAGGTATGTAGTACTGAAAAAATGGAGTGTGCAGCGCACATAACCCTGATCTTCAGATTCTTGTTCTTGTCCATATATGCTCTTATTCGCAAGTTTGATCTCCCCAGAGCAAAAAGTTCCTCCAAGAGTAGCCCCAGGAAAATTCTCCAAGAAAGGTGCGCTATCCACATTACAACGTCCAAAAAATGATGTACCACGACCACAGCAAGCAAATATCAAACCACCAAAGACTGACTTCTTATTGGTATTAGCAACACTTCCACTGTCTTGTTGATTGGACATGTGGTCGTATTCATGCTTCAGACGTCTGAAGTACTCAGTAACATTGGTATTTGAACTCAAGGTAGCATCAGAATCTGAAACATAGAAGCGGAAGGAGTCTCCGGTTCTGATACCCAAGTCATTGACATACAGGTACTCTTCATCCCCACTGCAAAAAGAGAGCCATTGTTCATACCTCCAATAAACCATAAAAAGGGAGAGAGTGCAAATGACAAAGTGAGCTTAAACACAAGTCATTAGCATTCCTAACAAGACGAGAAACACAAAATGAACAAGCACAAGTAGCCTATATCCCAAGAAATCCATACTATTAATACCACAAGGCACTCATTAGAAATAATTTGTACCACTAGATGCATAATTAATAAAATATCCCATTCCCGGCTCATCCCACCCAACCTTTCTCTACACTGACAGCCCAGCCTAACCCAATAAACTACCCACTACCCAAATTTCACACAGCCATTCAACATACAACTAGACAAATAAATAACACAAATAAAATATTAAAATGGAGTTCAAGCATCTAACTCTCATAACATTGCAAAGTTAAACAGATTAAATTTCAAAGCATCGTAATCCAACAGTATTCAACACTACTGTCAACATTCTCTGAGGCAATCAATGCATCCACGGGAAATGAGCAAAATCAACCAACAAGAAGCATAACTCACCCTATTACTTCATGAAACTCAAGAAACATCATCCATCTTGCTTTCTTCAATCCAATGGAGCATTTTCGTCTTTTGTTAACCCCAATGTAGAGAGCTAGATGTTGGATACGATCTCCAATCTGCTAGAAAGGATTTGGTTTAGGGAAAGCAGATTCCATATTTCAACTCCTACCAAGCTATATCCTGTTAGGCTGAACAAAGTAAATTAAGATGCAGGAAAAGTCTTCTGCTGACTCCTGAGTCAAGAGAAAACCAGAATCATAGCATCCACCTAGATGCTATGTTAAGCATTAAAAGAATGATCAATAAAGATTGCAAACTTAGCTTTTCAACAATAGAGTAACTATTGAATCAGAACTTCAAAGATTTCAACAATAAAGAATATTATCTGAGAAGTGAAACCAATACAGTCATTGCTTCAGCCAAACATATTTAGGAAGTATCGAATGCGAAGAGTTAGGATCCTGCTTATGGACCCAAAAGCCAAAAATTATATCAATGAACACTATGAAGAAATCCAAAAACTTGAAACCATCTTCATGCTGCTTCTACCAAGAAATAACCAGCAAAGTTAAACTTGATAAAGGCATCTTTTGAAACTAAAAGGACTTGGCGATCACCACCCATCTTTCTCTCCAATGTAGAATGATGCCCTTACTTAAACAGAACTGACCACATCTTTCGTAATTATGTGGTATGCTACCTCATCATCCTTACCCTAAGTACAATCACTAATTCTGTCAAATAGATTAAATCCCACTATGGATTGTAAAACAAATAAACATGCCAAAGAGACATCAGTTTAGCATGGTAATCTTCTTTCTAGGTTCTGTTTCAAAGGCCAAAACATTGCTCAATAGCTTAGAAACAAATTCAAAACAATGCAATGGCAGCATCATTACAGGTCTAAGGATTTTGGAGCATCAACAATATTTGTCACTGAAATATATGTACAACGTTAACAATCTGATATAACTGGGAGCACCAATATGTCCATTACTAAACCCTACAACCTTCAAAAATTTAAAACATCTGTATCTTAAACGACTACTGAAAAAAACCTGAGTGATCATCAGTAATGTGAGGTAGGCTAGCATACCTCATTGTACACGTTATCTAAAATAGATTGGCCATCAAGATGCACGCTAGTTGCTTCTCTTCTTGCAGTCAACCACGTCGAACGCTCATTCTTTTCTTCTCTAACGAAGCCGCCTTGTAAACTGCGCCAACAGGATGTAAGCCGGTTGATAATGTAGCATGAAACTTAGTTTCCCCAATGCCTGCTCACACAATTCAAATCAAAAGCGATTTTAATAGCAACAATCTTGACTCATAATGAACTGATAGGCTTTTAAACAATCAATATCATGTAAGAATGAAGTAAACCATCACAAACAGAAAAGGCAATGGTATCCCTACTAACACAGATATTAAATTTCCACAAGGACACTCCTAGATCTAACAGACAAAGAAATGCACAAACAATAAAAAGAAATGACTAAGAAATAGCTTAAAGCCACTGGAAACAGATGAACACAGGACAAAAAATATTGGAAAAAGCATGCAATACTGCAAACTGTCATGCTTACAAGCTTCCTTCAAAAGTCAACCAGCATAACTTGATAGACATCTACTATCATTTTGCCATACCACAGAGCCACCTTCTCAAATGTTTCGTAATCATATTCTGTCAGACCTATAGTACATGGATCAATGTCTAATTAACTGCAGCTTTTATATCCAGATAAGTATTCAGCAGACATATTTGCATTTTCATTTTCTAATGGATACTCTGAGAAACTTTATCTGTTGCACAGAAGAGTGTAATCCATGTCAAATATAGATTAGAAAACATTCCATACGAGGATCAGATGAAAAAATTAAGTACCAGGGGGCTTATGTCTATCCTTGACGAACAGAAGAGCCACGACAGCAGGATTACCATCTTGCTTCATGGTGGTGTTTTTATCCCAATCACTCCTGTAGAAGTATCGGCCGCCCCTTCCCCAACAACTACAGTCTCAAAGGAAAATGTATAATCTACAAATAGAAGACCAAAATTAGACACAAAATGTAGAAAGCAAATTTGAATTTCTGAAGCAAAATAAGAACATGCAGCAAGTTAGGAACTAATATATTAAGAATGCATCTTCCTTAAGCTCCATAACATAAAGAGGTTGAAGAAAGTAAAACCCACTAGCTTAGTTAGTTGCAATTTCAAGAGAACCTCAATTAGTGAAGCCACTTGTTCTCTTTTTCTTTTTCTTCATTTTTCCCCCATTTTAAGAAAATAAAATCTCAAGAGAGGACATGGAGAGGGCCGGGGGTCAGTCATGGTGGTGGTGGTTATCTAGTGTATGGAACATCAGTAGCATTTCCAATCTATTTTGTCATTTCAGGAAAGTAGAAACTTCATTGGTATGTCCTCTCAACCAAGCAATTTTTTGAATATGAATAATAACCTTCCTCAAACATTTTTTTACTAAAGCAAAGGAGAACATGTTAGATTGTACGAAAGTCATGATTTACAGTTCAGTGCATTCAGTACTCACCAAACTTTTGAAGAACAGGTCTCATGTCAGTTTTGAGATCCTAGCAAACCATGCATTTTCCCATGTTAGATATACAGTCAAGAGGAAAAAACAATTCAATAAAGCACAAAATAGCCAAATGGCCCAATATACTTTTCCAGAAATTTCCTAAATGCCCTTGACCACCATACGTTTCACTCACTCCTTAAACTACACTAGGATGTATAACATTACCTAGATGTACAAATCCATCTATATCTCATGTTCCATGTCCCCAAATAGAATATGTCAAAGAAGAATGTCAGTGATGCAATAGATAAAGGACTTTATTGACAAATAATATGTCCCAAGTGGCCAGTTGGAAACCTGAGAAAGCTCTAAGAAACACATTTAATT